CTTTTTAAGGGAATTCTGCTAAAAATGCCACTTTTGAGACAAAATACCATTTAATGGGGAACCCTCACAATATCATTCAGTATTCCTTCAGCGGTGTGATATGTTTTCTTCGCCACATCGTCTAAGATATTAAAGAATTACCCAAACGAAGTTTCTTATCGTTGCCTTGGAAGGATGAGTAAGTAATTGGTTAGTAATTCGCGATCAGTTTTGCCTTCTAGTCGCTATCCTTGAATTTCGAACAAAAATGTTTATTTAGGAGATCTTGTTAACTCACTTATATCCAGCTATTTATTTTTCTAACAAACCTACATAAACTTGTACGTTTCTTTTTTTTGATAGAAAGAAGCACTTGGAGTCGAAAATAATTGTCCATTTAGAAAACAAATTCAGTTATGTTAACTGCTGAATAACCCAGGATACTAATTTAAAGTTCTGTTATGAACCTTAGTGAACCCATGTACAAACAACCCTTGTCAAAATGGAGGAGTCTGCACAGTAACTGGAGATGACTATTACAGCTGTAAATGTGCTGAGGGATATCATGGAAACAATTGTGAAAAAGGTACAGATATGACGTGTATGGGTGTCTTAAGACACTTTTTTTGCAGTTATGGACTACTAATTTGCCGACCATAATGTCATATTCCCTTAGTGAGCCCATGTAAATCACTTCCATGTAAGAATGGTGGAACATGCACAATGAGTGGTCCTGATTCATTCTTTTGTACATGCACTGACGAGTTTAAAGGAGAAACATGCGAAAAACGTAAGTCGATTTTATCAGGAATTAAGCTATGGCTGGATAAACCTTTTTTGCTTTTAAAGAGAACAACACGCAGTTCTTTTGACTCCTGTACAGGACTCCCTTGTCCACCTGGCAAAAAGACAGACAATCCGCATGGTCGCTGTTGTGTTTTTCCTTTTGTGTATGGGGGGAGGAAGTACGAATCTTGTACCAAAGTCGCTCATAACAGATTGTGGTGTTCATTAGACAAAGTTTACAAAGGTCATTGGGCCAACTGCGGTAAGCAATAAAAACCACAAATTT